GGATGCTGTTAAGATATGCGACCACTCGGATTACTTCCAAATCTGTCCGTTTCTTATAAAAGGTGAATATGAAAGAGGATTTTGATTTTGCATATTTTTAGTTTAAGACATTACTTCGTATTTGCAAAAAGGTTCGTTTTTATTGTATGAGGATACGTTTTTTTTTTTATTTGTTGTGTAAGTGAAACGACATTCCCAGAACCATATTTTTTTTGGTAATTATGTTACTGTGATTCTTCCTATTTTGATGTTTCATTGCAGAGACGCTAAAGTTTGTCTTTTCACGACCAAGTGGACAGAAAGAATTTACTTCGCTCACACATTCAGGTTAGTAATAATTGTCTTTTTTTCTCTTTCGGTGGCTTAATTTCGCATTTTTTTCAAATTTTACTATTTGTTAGGGTCAGCGAAACTGCCCAATGTAAAGGTGTCGAGGCTACACGTCGGTGGATCTGGTGCGACATAAACATGTTTCATGATTTTTCAGATGCAGCATATCCGACAGCTCAAACCGTAAGTGGAAAATCGGAAACACCCGGAGCGGGAAGCGCAAAAGCTGAAGGAAAAGCTACCAGCTCTCAGGATGAGAAGAAAAAGAAACATAAAAAGGTATTTTTTTTGGAACTTGAATGATCCTGTTAATACGTTGTTTTGAAATACACTTGCCATGTTCTTGCTTTTTTTAATGGGAAAGGGGGAGGGCCAGGGAGCGGGGAGGAAAGAAGGGAGGGGTGGGGAAGTTAATTATTACATTTCTTATTTACACTTAATTATATTTATACACTTCTTATACCTCTTAATTATATAGATACACTCCTTAATTCTTATTAACTAAATCTTAATTCTTAATTCTGAATTAATGATAAAGGAAGTTAATTATACATTTTTTAGAACGTTTTTAGTTAATCTTTAACTTGGGACAAAAATTCGTTTAGAAATCCTAAAATGTTGGAAAATCGTTTTTATTTGTGCTGAAATTGACTTTAAAAAGTGATTTTGTTAGAGAAAAAAAAGTGCCGGGGGACCAGTGGTCATACCCTGCGAAGTGTACTCATCTCTTGAGACAGAAGCATTGAAAAGTGGTCAGAGTGATGGCATCTTGCCAACAGTAACTCTCATTGGACAGGAGATTATTAGTAATTTATTATTCCTCGTTCGATTACTTTAAAAAAAAAGGAAAAAACTTTAAGTTGCGTGATTTTTCGGCAAGAAAAGAATTAATGATAGGCATTCCAGCACTGGTCTGCTGATCTGAGGAATGAACAGATTCTGAGGAAATGGTTTTTCCGCTAGTTAATTCGTGAAGTCGGTTTTACCGAGAGAATCAGTCAAAACCATTAAAATCGAACATTCACAGCGTATTTGAACATAGGATTTTAATAAAGCCCTCAAAGTACCACATTATTACTATTTGAAGGAGAAAGAACGAGGAAAGCATCACGGAAGAGAGCACAAACGGAAGGATAAAAAGAAGGATAAGGAACACAAAAAGGATAAAACGAAGAAGGATGAGAATCGTGAAATGCCTGAAACAGGAAAGCATACCACAAAACGTTCACGTAAGCGTTCTGGTAAGTTTAACAGGTCTTTTTTTTACATAGTGAAGACTATGGTGCATTAATAAAAGATGGAATAAATGGCTTCCGTCGTCTGTTCGTTTTGATTTTGTGGCTTTTTTTGGGAGGACATGAGGAAGGGGGGG